ACACAGTACTCACAAACACACACAGTACTCACAAACACACACAGTACTCACACAACACCCACAGTACTCACAAACACCCACAGTACTCACAAACACAACACAGTACTCACAAACACACACAGAACTCACACAGTACTCACAAACACACAGTACTCACACCCAGCACTCACAAACACACACAGTACTCATACAGTACTCACAAACACACCCAGTACTCACAAACACACAGTACTCACACAGTACTCACAAACACACCCAGAACTCACAAACACCACCCACCTACCTTCATAACTCACTTAAACACAACTCAGATAAAACACAACTAACTTCGCACTGACAAAACTTCCAACTTAAACTAACTTAGCTCATAAGCTCACAAACTCAGGGGAAACACACACACACACACACACACACACACACACTAAACATACACACACACGCCCTAAACACACATACACACTAAATACAAACACATTATTCTCAAGGTTTATGTAGAGAAAAAAACAAGTTTTGGGCCTTTTAAAACCATGAGTTTACCAGCCGATGTTTCTCCAAATTCTCTCTAGTGGTTTCCTGTTTGGTGTGTGTGTGTGTGTGTGTGTGTGTGTGTGTGTGTGTGTGTGTGTGTGTGTGGTATTTGCTGGTGTTTTGGCTGTCAGGAGACGGGGGAAACATCGTCTCCTGACAGGCGGGGTGGCGTGGGGGGTGTCATCGCTGACAGCCAGTTCTGGTTGTCAGCGATGCTGACACATACTATTATCATTATTATTGGAGGTACCAGTAACTATAACAAGTCTAAGGTCAATGGTATCCATATTTCACTGTATTAAGAGTCAATCTGAGTCAGGTTAAATCTAGGGTCACATCTTGCCGTGTTTCACTTACTCTCCATTCCTTAACCTCATTAACCCTTCAATAGGGTCACTAACTTCCCTTCCCTAGGGTCACTAACTTCCCTTCCCTAGGGTCACTAACTTCCCTTCCCTGGGGTCACTAAATTCCCTCCCTGGGCCTAACTCCCCTTTCCCCTAGGGTCACTAACTTCCTTCCCCCCCAGGGTCACTAATTTCCCCTTTCCCCCCCTAGGGTCAAATTCCCCTTTCCCCCCGGGGTCACTAACTTCCCTTCCCGGGGTCATTAATTCCCTTCCTGGGGTCATAAATTCCCTTCCATGGGGCCACTAATTCCCCTTCCCCCCCTGGGGTCACTAACTTCCCTTCCCTGGGGTCACTAATTTCCCTTTCCCAGGGTCACTAACTTCCCTTCCCTAGGTACTAATTCCCTTCCATGGGGCCACAAATTTTTCCCTTCCCTAGGGTCACGAATTTCCCCTTCCCTAGGGTCCGAACTCTTCCTAGGGTCAGAACCGTTCCCTAATATCAACATTTTCCCCTGGTAAACACCCCTAAGTGGGTAGGCAAATTAGTAGGTAAGAAAGAGGGACTGACCACTATCAAAACTGAGGGGTGACCACCAAATATCAAACGAAAGGGGATCCCCAAATTATCAATATGAGGGACTGATCGCTAGGAAAATGATAGGGACGCCCCGCCCATGATAATTCTCAAATCTCTTGTGCTCTCAGGCTGGGGAAAGCTGTACACTAAAGGGACCTTTTGGTGGGGAAATTGCTGACCTGGAGAGTACAAAGAACTTTTACAGCACACGTAAGGCGATAAGGACCCAAACTACTGGGAACGGTTGAAAGGGCCTTTATCTGATCCCTCGAAGCAGGCGACACATGATGATAATAAAACTTGGAAAGGGGCCCGGAGGGATTGGACCAAACTTGCAAAACCCAAAATCACTCCCTATGAAGCAAGACTCAGCAGGGGAGAACATTCCCCCCATGAAAAGCAGGGGCGCCACGAATACACTGAGAAACACAAGTGTCCGGGGCCCAAGACTGTTCAATTGCCTCCCAGCATACATAAGAGGGATTACCAACAGACCCCTGGCTGTTTTATATAAGGCACTGGACAGGCACCTAAAGTCAGTACCTGACCAACCGGGCTGTGGTTCGTACGTCAGTTTGCGTGCGGCCAGCAGTAACAGCCTGGATGATCAGACCCTGATCCACAATGAGGCCTGGTCTCAGACCGGGCCGCGGGGGCGTTGACCCCCGAAACCCTCTCCAGGTAAACCATCAAGAATGAGGGACTGACCAACTATCAATACTGAGGGACTGACCACCAACTATCAATACTGAGGGACTGACCACCAACTATCAATACTGAGGTACTGACCACCAACTATCAATACTGAGGTACTGACCACCAACTATCAATACTGAGGTACTGACCACCAACTATCAATACTGAGGTACTGACCACCAACTATCAATACTGAGGTACTGACCACCAACAAATCAATACTGAGGTATGACCAACTATCAATACTGAGGTACTGACCACCAACTATCAATACTGAGGGACTGATCACCAACTATCAATACTGAGGTACTGACCACCAACTATCAATACTGAGGGACTGATCACCAACTATCAATACTGAGGTACTGACCACCAACTATCAATACTGAGGGACTGACCACCAACTATCAAGACTGAGGTACTGACCACCAACTATCAATACTGAGGTACTGACCACCAACTATCAAGACTGAGGTACTGACTATCAATACTGAGGTACTGACCACCAACTATCAATACTGAGGTACTGACCACCAACTATCAATACTGAGGGACTGACCACCAACTATCAATACTGAGGGACTGACCACCAACTATCAATACTGAGGGACTGATCACCAACTATCAATACTGAGGTACTGACCACCAACTATCAATACTGAGGTACTGACCACCAACTATCAATACTGAGGGACTGATCAACTATCAATACTGAGGTACTGACCACCAACTATCAATACTGAGGTACTGACCACCAACTATCAATACTGAGGGACTGATCACCAACTATCAATACTGAGGTACTGACCACCAACTATCAATACTGAGGGACTGACCACCAACTATCAATACTGAGGTACTGACCACCAACTATCAATACTGAGGGACTGATCACCAACTATCAATACTGAGGTACTGACCACCAACTATCAATACTGAGGGACTGACCACCAACTATCAATACTGAGGTACTGACCACCAACTATCAATACTGAGGGACTGACCACCAACTATCAATACTGAGGTACTGACCACCAACTATCAATACTGAGGGACTGACCACCAACTATCAATACTGAGGGACTGACCACCAACTATCAATACTGAGGTACTGACCACCAACTATCAATACTGAGGGACTGATCACCAACTATCAATACTGAGGGACTGACCACCAACTATCAATACTGAGGGACTGACCACCAACTATCAATACTGAGGGACTGACCACCAACTATCAAAAACTGAGGTACTGACCACCAACTATAAATTTACTGGGGACTGACCACCAACTATCAATACGAGGGACTGACCACCAACTATCAAGACTGAGGGACTGACCACCAACTATCAATACGAGGGACTGACCACCAACTATCAATATGGGGGATGACCACCAACTATAAAGACTGAGGGACTGACCACCAACTATCAATACTGGGTACTGACCACCACTATCAATACTGAGGGACGGGACCACCAACTATCAAGACTGAGGGATGACCAACTTCAATACTGAGGGACTGACCACCAACTATCAATACTGAGGTACTGAACACCAACTATCAATACTGAGGGACTGACCACCAACTATCAATACTGAGGTACTGACCACCAACTATAAATACTGGGGGGACTGACCACCAACTATCAATACTGAGGGACTGACCACCACTATCAATACTGAGGGACTGACCCCCAAACTATCAATACTGAGGGACTGACCACCAACTATCAATACGAGGGACTGACCACCAACTATCAATACTGAGGGACTGCCACCAACTACAATACTGGGGGACTGACCACCAACTATCAATACTGAGGGACTGACCACCAACTATCAATACTGAGGGACTGACCACCAACTATCAATACTGAGGGACTGACCACCAACTATCAATACTGAGGTACTGACCACCAACTATCAAGGTTGAGGGACTGACCACCAACTATCAAGGTTGAGGGACTGACCGTGCAAGTATCGTAAGCACATCGCAAAAATGCCCAGGGAACGTAAACACATCGTAAGAACGACCAACTATCGCGTAAAGAACGTAAACACATCGCAAAAACGTTCAGGGAACGTAAACATATCGTAAGAACGTCCCAACTGTCGCCTAGGGAACGTAAAAGCGTCTCGAGAACACACAACACTCGTCCAAGGAACGTAAACACGTCTCAAGAACGCCAGACTCTGAATGTTCCGTCCCACACAAACTACGTCGAAAAAAACGCAAGAGAATTATTCCCACCCTCTTTTCCATTCAGTATTCGGCACCGGGGGAAGGGGGGGAGGGGGGAACGTAGAGAGGGGGAGGGGTGGTGAAAGAGGAATGGTAGGGGGGAGGAGGGGTGAGAGAGAGGAAGAGGAAGGGTGTTGAAGGGTGAGGGAGGGTGGACGAAGGGGGTTGGAAGGGAATGGTAGGGGGAAGGGGGGTTAAGCGAGGTGGGGGTAGGCGTGGGTGGCAGCACCCCCACCAAAATACATGAAAGATATTGTCTTATTTGTAGGGGGAAGAAGGGGGGGGGTGTTTAAAGAAAAAGGGGGAGGGTGGGAGAGTGGGCGGCGACCCACTGTGTGGGCGGTGTGGGCGGCGTGTGTGTGTCCTATACGAGGGGAGGGGGAAGACCGAAGGTGGGGGAGGTAGGGGAGAGGGGAAGGCATGTGTGTGCATGTGTGTGTGCGTGCGTGTCCAGCGCAGGTAGGATTGTGCGCATGAGGTAGGGGGGAGGGGAGGGGGGGGGGGTTTGGGTAGGGAAGGGGGGGAACTGATGTGGGGGATGGGGGGGTTAAGAAGAGAGGGGAAGGGTAGAGTTGGAGAGTCTCAGTGCAGTGTCGTCCGTCACAACGTACCATGCACACGGGCGGCCTCCTCTTATGTCTTGCGGCCGTGGCGTGCGTCTCTCAACCCTGCCTGACCTCGCGCAGCGGCGCAGCGCCGCTGCCGCCGCAGCGCTACACCCTCCTGGCGCTCCTGCGCGCCGCTACCGCCATCCACCGCCACCCGCAACAATACCCGCAGCTCTACCGCCGCGGCAATGCGGGCATGCCGCATACCCACTTCCAAGCGCCGCATGAACCCGCGGTCGACCTGCAGGAGGAGGAAGAGGCGCGCAGGGCTTGGGATAAGCGCGGTGCGCAAGAGGGCAGTGATACCCAAGTGAACGTACAGGAACCGCAACAGGAACCGCAGGAAGGGCAGCAGGAGGCCGCAGTAACCGCAGGACTTCAGCAGGTCGGCGCATCAATAGCCTCTAACTTCCTGCGGCATGCGCGTTCAGGTCCCAGACCATATGATGTGCCCAGGATAGGTAAGTCAACCTCTATTAATCTATCTAATTATATATATATATATATATATATATATATATATATATATATATATATATATATATATATATATATATATATTTATATATCACGTTCCAAAATCCTACGTTCGAAATATTATCCATTTTACGTTCAAAACATCAAAATCTTGTGTTCACGATATTTTCCGTATCTTACGTTCAAAACATCTCAATAGTCTTACGTTCAATAAATTATTTTCGTATTCCTACGTTCAACGCCTCGAAAATCATAGGTCCAACACCTTCCCAACATCTCACGTTCAACACCTTCCCAACATCTCGCACGTTCAACACCTTGCCAACACTCTGCACGTTCAACAACCTGCCAACATCTCACGTTCAACACCTTCCGAACATCTCACGTTCAACACCTTCCCAACATCTCACGTTCAACACCTTCCGAACATCTCACGTTCAACACCTTCCCAACATCTCACGTTCAACACTTTGCCAACATCTCACGTTCAACACCTTCCAACATCTCACGTTCAACACCTTCCCCAAAATCTCACGTTCAACACTTTGCCAACATCTCACGTTTTAACACCTTCCCAACATCTCACGTTCAACACCTTGCCAACATCTCACGTTCAACACCTTGCCAACATCTCACGTTCAACACCTTCCAACATCTCACGTTCAAACACCTTGCCAACCCTCTCACGTTCAACACCTTCCCAACATCTCACGTTCAACACCTTGCCAACATCTCACGTTCAACACCTTGCCAACATCTCACGTTCAACACCTTCCCAACATCTCACGTTCAACACCTTGCCAACATCTCACGTTCAACACCTTGCCAACATCTCACGTTCAACACCTTGCCAACATCTCGCACGTTCAACACCTTGCCAACATCTTACGTTCAACACCTTGCCAACATCTCACGTTCAACACCTTCCCAACATCTCGCACGTTCAACACCTTGCCAACATCTCGCACGTTCAACACCTTGCCAACATCTCGCACGTTCAACACCTTGCCAACATCTCGCACGTTCAACACCTTGCCAACATCTCGCACGTTCAAACACCTTGCCCCAAAATCTTACGTTCAACACCTTGCCAACATCTCACGTTCAACACCTTCACAATATCTCGCACGTTCAACACCTTGCCAACATCTCACGTTCAACACCTTCCCAACATCTCGCACGTTCAACACCTTGCCAACATCTCGCACGTTCAACACCTTGCCAACATCTCACGTTCAACACCTTGCCAACATCTCGCACGTTCAACACCTTCCCACCATCTCACGTTCAACACCTTGCCAACATCTCACGTTCAACACCTTGCCAACATCTTACGTTCAACACCTTGCCAACATCTCACGTTCAACACCTTGCCAACATCTCACGTTCAACACCTTGTCAACATCTCACGTTCAACACCTTGCCAACATCTCACGTTCAACACCTTGCCAACCCTCTCACGTTCAACACCTTCCCAACATCTCACGTTCAACACCTTGCCAACATCTCACGTTCAAAAACCTTGCCAACATCTCACGTTCAACACCTTGCCAACATCTCACGTTCAACACCTTGCCAACATCTCACGTTCAACACCTTGCCAACATCTCACGTTCAACACCTTGCCAACATCTCACGTTCAACACCTTGCCAACATCTCACGTTCAACACCTTGCCAACATCTCACGTTCAACACCTTGCCAACATCTCACGTTCAACACCTTGCCAACATCTCACGTTCAACACCTTGCCAACATCTCACGTTCAACACCTTCCCAACATCTCACGTTCAACACCTTCCCACCATCTCACGTTCAACACCTTCCGAACATCTCACGTTCAACACCTTCCCAACATCTCACGTTCAACATCTTCCCAACATCTCACGTTCAACACCTTCCCAACATCTCACGTTCAACACCTTCCCAACATCTCACGTTCAACACCTTCCCAACATCTCACGTTCAACATCTTCCCAACATATCACGTTCAACACCTTCCCAACATATCACGTTCAACACCTTCCCAACATATCACGTTCAACATCTTCCCATCACGTTCAACACCTTCCCAACATCTCACGTTCAACACCTTCCCAACATCTCACGTTCAACACCTTCCCAACATCTCACGTTCAACACCTTCCCAACATCTCACGTTCAACACATTCCCAACATCTCACGTTCAACACCTTCCCAACATCTCACGTTCAACACCTTCCCCAAAATCTCACGTCAACACCTTCCCAACATCTCACGTTCAACACCTTCCCAACATATCACGTTCAACACCTTCCCAACATATCACGTTCAACACCTTCCCAACATATCACGTTCAACACCTTCCCAACATCTCACGTTCAACACCTTCCCAACATATCACGTTCAACATCTTCCCAACATATCACGTTCAACATCTTCCCATCACGTTCAACACCTTCCCAACATCTCACGTTCAATATCTTCCCAACATATCACGTTCAACACCTTCCCAACATATCACGTTCAACATCTTCCCATCACGTTCAACACCCTTTCCAACATCTCACGTTAAATACTTCCCAACATATCACGTTCAACACCTTCCCAACATATCACGTTCAACACTTCCCATACGTTCACACACCTTCCCAACATATCACGTTCAACACCTTCCAACTATCACGTTCAACACCTTCCAACATATCACGTTCAACATCTTCCCATCACGTTCAACACCTTCCCAACATATCACGTTCAACACCTTCCCAACATATCACGTTCAACATCTTCCCATCACGTTCAACACCTTCCCAACATCTCACGTTCAACACCTTCCCAACATCTCACGTTCAACACCTTCCCAACATCTCACGTTCAACACCTTCCCAACATCTCACGTTTAACACCTTCCCAACATCTCACGTTCAACACCTTCCCAACATATCACGTTCAACACCTTCCCAACATCTCACGTTCAACACCTTCCCAACATCTCACGTTCAACACCTTCCCAACATATCACGTTCAACATCTTCCCATCACGTTCAACACCTTCCCAACATATCACGTTCAACACCTTCCCAACATATCACGTTCAACACCTTCCCAACTATCACGTTCAACACCTTCCCACATATCACGTTCAACACTTCCCATCACGTTCAACACCTTCCAACGTATCACGTTCAACACCTTCCAACATTCACGTTCAACACCTTCCCAACATATCACGTTTCAACATCTTCCCATCACGTTTCAACACCTTCCCAACATATCACGTTCAACACCTTCCCAACATATCAGTTCAACATTCCACACGTACAAAACCTTCCCACATCTCACGTTCAACACCTTCCCAACATCTCACGTTCAACACCTTGCCCAACATCTCACGTTCAACACCTTCCCAACATCTCACGTTCAACACCTTCCCAACATCTCACGTTCAACACCTTCCCAAACATCTCACGTTCAACATCCTTCCCACATCACGTTTCAACACCTTCCCAACATCTCACGTTCAACACCTTCCCAACATCTCACGTTCAACACCTTGCCAACATCTCACGTTCAACACCTTCCCAACATCTCACGTTCAACACCTTCCCAACATCTCACGTTCAACACCTTCCCAACATCTCACGTTCAACACCTTCCCAACATCTCACGTTCAACACCTTGCCAACATCTCACGTTCAACACCTTCCCAACCCTCTCACGTTCAACACCTTCCCAACATCTCACGTTCAACACCTTCCCAACATCTCACGTTCAACACCTTCCCAACATCTCACGTTCAACACCTTGCCAACATCTCACGTTCAACACCTTCCCAACATCTCACGTTCAACACCTTCCCAACATCTCACGTTCAACACCTTGCCAACATCTCACGTTCAACACCTTGCCACATCTCACGTTCAAACACCTTGCCAACATCTCACGTTCAACACCTTCCAACATCTCACGTTCAACACCTTCCCAACATCTCACGTTCAACACCTTCCCAACATCTCACGTTCAACACCTTCCCAACATATCACGTTCAACACCTTCCCAACATCTCACGTTCAACACCTTCCCAACATCTCACGTTCTCAACACCTTCCCAACATCTCACGTTCAACACTTCCCAACATATCACGTTCAACATCTTCCCACATCTCACGTTCAACACCTTCCCAACATCTCACGTTCAACACCTTCCCAACATCTCACGTTCAACAACAATGTGAAAACCTCCAAACACTCGGCATGATTTAAATAACAGGACCAGGAGCTGCAGCTCAACACCCTAACCCTTCTACAGGTGTTGGTAGCTATAAATAGGATGGCAGGTATTGAGGACAACACCTGTCATCCTACACTACCATATTAGTGGACAACACCTGTCATCCTACACTACCATATTAGTGGACAACACCTGTCATCCTACACTACCATATTAGTGGACAACACCTGTCATCCTACACTACCATATTAGTGGACAACACCTGTCATCCTACACTACCATATTAGTGGACAACACCTGTCATCCTACACTACCATATTAGTGGACAACACCTGTCATCCTACACCACCATACTTGAGAACACCTGTCATCCTACACCATCATACTTGAGGATACCTGTCATCCTACACCACAATACTTGAGGATACCTGCCATCCTACACCATCATACTTGAGGATACCTGTCATCCTACACCACAATACTTGATGATACCTGTCATCCTACACCACCATACTTGAGGACACCTGTCATCCTACACCACAATACTTGAGAATACCTGTCATCCTACACCACCATACTTGAGGACACCTGTCATCCTACATCACCATACTTGAGGATACCTGTCTTTCCCACACCACAATATTGAGGATACCTGTCATCCTACACCACATACTTGAGGATACCTGTCATCCTACACCACAATACTTGATACCTGTCATCCTACACCACCATACTTGAGGACACCTGTCATCCTACACCACAATACTTGAGG